AAGATGGAGTTTGGTTAACAGAAATAAAGATGTTTTTAGGCTGTAAGATGCCAATTAAGACATTTTGAAAGATATACGAGAAAAGTCTCTTATCTTTCTCGCATAAGGCAATTATTCTAAGTTTCTTCAGGGTTTTTTCATTAACCTGTCCCTTTGACTCTCTGATTGGTTCTCAATTTTACTTTATAAACTGAAAACTGCTTAGGGAGATTTACAAGACAGTTTTAAAAGGGATTTTAACCTCGATTTACCAATTATTTCGACTTCATCTGTTCATTTTCTTTCATTCTTCAATTCACTGCTTCTTAGGCATTTCCTCAATTCCCTCTCTTCTACTACGAAAGTTGATTCAACTAATTGCTCGTAAACGAATTATATGAAATATTGACGTCTAAGTTTGTTAAGAATTTCCTCTTGGATGAACTTTAACATTTTCAATTGCTTGAAACAAGCAGATTACTCAGCAGGTTACCATGGAGAGCATTAGACTGAAAACATCCGCTCCGGATACAGAAAATTTGGACTTTCAAGGTGTCAAAATGAAGAGTAATCGCCCGAAAGTAAATTTTACCATAAACTATCCTATCAGTTGCAAACGTCGTTTCAATTTTCTTCCAAACTTGTTTATACGCGAGATGATATAACGAGTGACAAAATGAACCATTCTTTAAAATGCTCATACTTATTATGCAGCTAGAGTATGGAAAAAAATTCAAGTTTTGTAAATAATATTCTAGTAGGAGGCGATAAATTGAGTAAAATTAATCCTTTTCTTGCTCCCTAATTGACTTTGGCTGCGTAAATCCATCAGTTGCTCTATTTTTATTAATAGTTCTATAATGGCATAGTGAAATGGGCGTCTACGCTTATTCCGAGAGTAATATCAAATGCTGAAATATGATCTATTCCATGCCATGAATTATTAAAAAGCCTTTGAAACAACTTTTCCTGTACATACAAATTCAAGATGGCCTCTTAATTGGTACTTATTAGTGTCGATTCCCCATGAAGAACCCACAAAAAAAAAACAGAGTTGAAGCCTTATTTAATTTGCTACATGAACTCTTCACTTTAAATCTTTGTTGACACGAATCTCTGTGATTTTTTTTCTATTGTTGTTGACAAGTTAGAATTGGTTTTTTTTCTGTGTTACAACATTATAGGCCCTGTTTACTTTATAATACTAGATTCAACTAGTTATGCGCTAGTTCCTCCGGTGGCGATTGCAACTGAATCAACACTTTTATTCTTTACAGCCTCGTCTGGTATAGAAATTTTTCTGTTAAAACTTTTAAATTCTAAAACCGTGCGAAGTTTATGACCCGGTTAAAGGAAAAGTAAAAATAACTCGAAAGTTCTGTAAAGTTAGGAAAATAAAACAACGTCCTGGATAGCCCTGGTGTAAATAGGACACGAAAAAGTAGAATAAAGGCTATTGAAGCCTCTCACTCGATATATATTGATGACTTCACGTTCGTGAAGGATCATATTTATCTCATAAATGGGTTATAGTTCATCTTTATTTTATGCACGATATCACAAACAATAGTAGAGATTCTTTTTTAATAGGAAACAATTAGTAGATGCCACCTAATGAAGCGATTTCATCTATTTTAAGACGGAAAATTCCTCGTAAATTGATAGTTTTTTTTTTTTGCGTAAATTTTGAATGAAATTGCAATTTTGAATCAAATTGCAATCAGAATTTTGCAATTTCATTCAAAACTTACGCAAAAAAAACTATCAATTTAATTCTGATTATGAATGAACTATTTAAAGTAAGTTACTTTCAATTATTTTAATCACATTCTAGGCCCCTACAAACTTCACAATCCCTACATTACAGCAATTAATAAGCACGATGTAGATGCACAACTGACAAAAAAACCTCCCAACTCATCCGCTTAACCAACAACTTTTTTTTTGACAGTTTTTTGGCACAGGTGTAGAGGGTCAGACAGGGTTACTTTACGCCAACCTAATCATAGACCAAAGGCGTTAACGATAACACTGTTTATTAACATATCGACTTATTGCTGATACGATCTTCCATGTATAAAAATTGGGCTAATTTGTTTGATATTATTCTGAGCATGGGGCAGGTGAATATTCTGAATTCTTCTACACATACTCATACAAAAAAAAATGTATTTTATTCTCATTACAGAAGATGATTTACGATATCGTTAGGTAGGATAACATTAAGAAGCCAAGCAAATTCGTCAAGTAGTTGTATCAAGAAACAAAATTCTTATCTTCTATCGTTGGGCTAACTGGTTATAATGTTATTTTTTTACATTAAGTATATTTTAAAGCTGGTTATAGTATTTTCTGATTTTTATTCATAAAAAAATTTAATTTGCGAGTTTATTATCCACTTCCTAATTTAATATGTTAATTGTTTCAAAAACTAAAATGTTATACTAGTTTAAACACGATTAACCGATTATATTAATTATTATTTAATTGAAACTTCCTTTACCAGGCCTTAAGGACAGCATTTTTGATACAGGCCCAATCGCTTGTAGGTTACTGATTTTATTACACAACGATTAATTGATCAAACGATTCGAAATTGATCGATCAAACGTCAACTCGAACGAGTGTTCATTAATTCTTGCATCACATAATGAATTTTTTCTTTGAGCCGGTATCCACAGGCATTAACCTTTTAATTGTTGCGAAATTCATTTCATAAATGAAACGGTCGCTAATACTGTAAAATTATGTAATTACACATTGTTTGACTTTATTCCAAATGCGAAAGCTTATCTTGAAAATGTAGAGGTGAGTGACTGACTCCATCTCTGAGAGGGATGATAGTAGGCATGGCCTAATCAATGGTTGAAATGACAACTAGAATAACCTAATGGTTCGGTAATTGTAGATGATTGCAGTCGTATGATGAATATGCAATTTTTTCGCCATTATTTTTTCTGACTATGTTAAAATCCTTTTTGTTCGCTGCTTGCGGTGTTTGAGCCTACTTATGCAGCGAATTTTTAACTCTAAAGAAAAAGAAATGGATCACTACATTGTTAATGTATTCGCTATTGTGTTTTTATAATAATTTGGTGTAAAATTTTCTCATAAAAGCAGAAATATTCAGTTTTTTCACGGCAATTTTAACCACGCTTTTCAAGCTTCTTCAGAGTTTTGACTGCATTTAAGTGACTTCACAGTGGCGCGTTGTCCTATGGGCAAAAAGGGAAATTGCCTGGGGGTCCCACTAGCAGGGACCTCAAAAATTTTATAAGAAAATATTTTCCCCATGAGAATGTAGAAAAATGTCTACAGTCAACACTGTACTTGGGGCCCTCCTAATTCAAATTTGTCTGGGCGCCCATGAATCTATAACGTTCCACTGTGACTTTTAAAATTTTGGTTATTTTTTTTTCTCTTATAAGTTAAAAGTTTTAAACTTGACAATTTTAAAAAACACGCACGAAAAAAATTAAAATATAATTTTTAAAAATAACTATTGCAAATTTTAGAACGTGTTTATGCGTGAAGATAACTGTCTGTATACAGGCTAAACCTTCCGGGATAGCTGTAAAATTTATTAATAGAAAATAAAATTATTGAGTCAAGGGAGTCTTTGTCATGTTGCATAGAGAGATACAGATTTATATATATTTTTTAAGAAAATAAATTTGTTAAAGAATCATATAATGACTCTTCCTGCAAGCATGAGCAGTTACATATAAAGGGCGCCTTTCTAACTGAAGATAAGCTCTGTTTTAATATTAAAAAAAACTGTAGTTTTTTTAAAAACATGTTAACTTTACTGTTAACGACAGACCGTCTTTCATCTATTAATTAGTTTCCTCAAAATATAAATTAGAAAAAAAATTATGAAACAGAAAAAGTTTGTTTCTTTAATAGCATATTTTAATAAAAAAATAAAAAGATAAAAATGTTTTCCTATTTTTCGGATTTGTGAACATGACTCGAATGAGTTGCGCTTTTACATAGTAGGTTCTTCATCCGTATCTTAAACTTCACCGTTTTTAAGCATGGCCAACAGCAGATTAAAATAGAGTTATATATTTCGGAAGGATCCGGAGGTGATTTTTTTATATCGTTTAATCTTTAAAAAATATGATTTATGAAGTGCGAGTTCATCCGGTTGGTTTACTAAACACTTTACATGAAGGAAGATGAAAGGGACTTCAGGAAAATTCTTTTAAGTTCAGAGATTTTTAGTTAAATTTCTGTTAAGTTGCTTAAATAAGTTTATCCTATGGGCAAAAAATGAAATTGGCTGGGGACCCGCATCAATAGAGGGACCCAAACCAATCTTTTATAAGAAAATATTTCCCCCGAAGTAAAATGTCTGAAGTCAATATTGTACTGTACATGGGGTCCCCCTAATTCAAATTTGCCTTGCCCACGAAGCTATAATACGCTAGTGACAAGTATTTTAAACGTTAAAATTAATCTTGTTTCGTCTTTGGCTGCTTCAAATGATACCAGTTGAAGCGAATGCCATTGCTGCTTCTCGTATCATGCAGTTGAACCCGAACGTTCTTTCAACAAGTTATGCCTCAATAAATTTGAAACAACAAACTATAATTAAAAAAAAATTACTTTTCCTAAGTAAAATATGCAGTAAATTATACAAACTGACTCTACAAAAAATGAAAATTACAGAAATAAATTTGTTAAAAATTTTATTCATTTTATTTTTACACTTGATTGGCTCTCGAAATAATCTAGTCATTTCATAATAGTGGATTAAATGTAGCAGAAAACAAGTCTTTCAACATTTGTGGTCATTGGAGAGTAAAAGAAAATAATTTTTTTATTCTCTGCCCCCCTCCTGATCGCGTGTCTGGTTCTATTCTCGAAGAGATTTTCTACGAAAACTGCGAAAAATTATCGAACATTTCAACGCTTCGGCGATTTAAAATGATTTTTGCCAATTGTATTTTTGTAATTTTGTTAAAACAGTTGACCTACATAAATTAATTTGTTGTTTTTTTAAATTATTTTCGTAGGTACGGACGACGCCATGTTCTTAAATGGTTATTGAGAGAAGCCAAGATGCCCGCTTTGGAGAAAACAGCAACTGGTGCTTTGGCATTGCATTATGCCGCTGCCAAAGGATGCCTCGATTGTGTTAAACTACTAGCCGAATCATGCCCCGAATTAAGGTAAGTACACTTTTTTAACACGACTAAGTTCAAGTAACTCTAGAATTTATTTAGTGGCGCGCTATCCTAAAAGGGCAATTGCCCGGGGTCCCCCAATAACAGAGATCTCAAACCAATCTTTATAAGATGAAGTTGACACTGTAATTGGGCTCCCTGATTCAAATTCGCCTATAACGGGCCACTGACTTTATTTTTAAAAACGATCACTTATCAGTTCTGGATAAGCTTAATTTCTTAATCTGGTAGCTTAAATATCGATAAACTGAATTTGTTCGGGTATAAAAATACCTCTTATACTTCAAAGTATGTCTTTGAACATAGGATAAGTCATATTGTATGTGCTCTAACTATTCTAATATTACTTATTTTGATTAATCCTCATACCGAAATATAACAGAGGGGGCAACTCATGCATAAAAATCATGAGGTGCCTTCATAAAATAGTACATATCAATCAAAAAAAGGATTATACAGTATTACAGTGATGAAGATTTGCATAACGTATCTAGAAAACTAAACGTGAATAAAATAATCTTTCATCTATTAATATGGATGCATTCGTCTTTGTAGATTAATCTTTAATATGCAATATAAATATTTAATATCGTAGAAACTAATTTTTAATTCCTTAAGAAATATCCTGTTTAAGTTAGGATTTTTCTTAACAAAATATATTCTAGAATCTATAAAGTTTAAGCTGTAGAGCAAAAGGTAAGATTTTGGAAACTGGAAATCTATTTTGCTTATTAAAATCTCTTAAAATTAGAGAAATTCTTTAAAATATTTAATTAAACGAGATATATAGATTAATTTTTTAGTGAGGGGGATCTTTGGTCCTTATACTAAAAAATTAATCTGTATATCTCGTTTTAATTAACTATTTCAAAGAATTTCTCTAATTTGAAGAGATTTCAATAAACAAATTTCAATAAAATCGCTGCAAGCTATATAAAAAAAATATCGAAGTCTGTAATTAATTAATATTATACACTTAAATTACTAGCCGAATCATGCCTTGGACTGAGGTAAGTTTATCTTTATATAATTATATTACTGTAGTTTTCCTTATATTTCTCTACAGACGTTTACTTAAGCGAATTATAAGTCTGATAAGCCTACATGCCTATATAATAACAATAATTTAGCTCTTAAAATCTAAAACAGAGCGTCCTATAAATGTCAAAATGTTGAGTTTTGAAATTTGAATGATAAATCAGCAGAGATTTTTATTATTTATATGAGCATTTTATTACTGATTACATCAACTTCTGTACGAGATAATATATAATTAAATCTTCATCTATATTAAATGCGATTTTTAACAACACACTCAATAAATATATATAAAAGTGTATCATCGAAGTCTTTGATTCTTATCAGCAACATACGAAGTTTGATAGATATAATATGATTAATTATCATGGGAAAAAACCATGGTTAATTAAAATTCGCTCACGTTGTTATGCAAATCATAGAAAACTATTGATGGTTCGAGAAGAGTTTTTCATTTATTTTTACGTAAAAGGCTGTCATTGGACGAATCGATCGAAATCAATCGATTGGCATCTTACTTTGCATCATTAATCATTGCCATCGTCTCTAATTACTTTCTATGTAATTCTATTCTAAAGCCGTCTTTGCTTCAGGCTCTACTTCTTTAAATTCTGTAAACATCTTTATGTTATATCGACATCTAAAGTTAGAAATCAGTTTCGGAAAGTGATTCGACCGTAGTCCATATTTTAAGTTACGAGAATCCACTAAAGAAAACTGAAGCTTCTGAAGGCCTTCAGAAGACACTTATGTATCGGCTTACAAAATGAAATTAAATGTCTTTAAATTTATTATTTATATATAATTTCCTTTCTTAGAAATTCCAAGATGCATTAATTAAACGAATGAGCGTTGGCTTATTAAGTAAAGTTTAACACTATTAATTACATTAGCATAATGCTTATAAATAGAATGTCATCGCGTAATTAATGATTACTTCAACAAAAAATGGAAGAAAAAACAATTAATTATTGTTGCTTTTTGCTGCGTGTTCGTCTTCGTCATTGTTATTTTTGCTTACTTGTACAGTACATAGTATTTTTTTAAAATATTTTTTCCTCTTCTATTCTAACTCATGTTTTAGGTAATTTATGCCCGTAAAGTATGTCGAAAAGTAGTAGCATTATTACAACTTGATTCGTCGTGTGCTATTAATTAAAAGTATTGTTTGAAAGCTCTATTGTCTTTTTTCTTTTTTTTGTTTTTTGGTAGGAGCTTGCTTAAGAATTTTTAAACTCTTTCCTCTTCTGCAATTGTTTATTGTAATAAACAAAAGAAGAGTTAGGAAAGTAGAAAAAATTAATATTTAACTTATAAAAAAATAAGTTGCTTCAGATACGAATCTCTAAGACAGTGTTTCTCAACCTCTAACGAATCGTCGCCCCCTTCACTTCAAAATTCAGATGCCTAGGGCCAAGGCTAACGCCAAATTCGTACTGCATTGAATAGATTATTGACTAGTATAATGTTATTTGTTTAATTATTGTACGATATAACGAATAAAATATCTAATTATTCTTAATATAATGTTTTACTATATCGCCGAGAAAATTGTTTTTCGCCCCCCAAAATATAAATTGTTACTAATCGCCCCATCAACATGAAAAAACGCCCACATGGGGGCGATATCGCCCCCGTTGAGAAACACTGCTCTAAGATGACGAAACACTGTTGAGATTTTAATACCAATGTGTATATTTACTTTTATAGTAATTTTAAAATAGCAATGAATGATATTATTATACTGTATATATATATATACAGGAATAATAATAAGGAATATAATTACAGTATATATATATATATATATATANATGAAAATTAAGCCGTAAACGGAATTTATTAAACAGGACTGTTGGCTTATCTTAACGTTCCAATACGTGTTTGGCATGTATAGGAACATGTATAGTCTACTGAATACATATATTGTATACTAAATCTGAGTCATTATTTAACTGTATTCATCAACAAATTAAAATTATCTCGAATGATACGCTTACAATGTATCGCATTTGAATAGTGTAAACATTTCTAACCTTTAAAGATAATTCGCGGTAATTTTTGCTTACTCTTTAAATAATTTTTTAAATATTCATACAAAAATAGCTATATCCTTCTGTAAACTTGTGTTTATATAGCGGTTATAGATAGAAAATGAATGGTTTTTTTATTCTGTCTTATACGCTTCAGGTGTGCAAGTTTAACTTTAAAAAAATTAGTGATGCAACAATCATTTTTGATTCAAAAATAACTAATCGTTGGGGTGAATATAAATATAAAGTTTTTTTTTGCATCAACCGGTGTGTTAAATAAGAAATAAATTTTAAAAAAAGTTTTAATAAAAAACTCTTGAAATCCAATAAACACGCAACTTTCAATACAGACAAAAAATACTTTTGATTTATAGCTTTGCAACACGTAAAATATAACAATTTTTTCCCCTTCTTCAAGTTGCAGAATTTAATTTATAAAAAAGAATTTCTTCCCAGTCGTTAAGAAGAATAACTATTACATTAATTACTCATTATTGGGCGATTGAAGAGTACATTAAACAGTTACCACGCCTCATCAATAAACGCCCAGAAATCTATTAAGTGCTGAAGCAGTGTCTGTCGACTTTAGAAATGATAAATAAGATAGTTTTTCTGAAGCAGAGGAGCTGTTTTGTTAACGGATATTATTAATCTTTTAAATTGAAACTACTCTAAAGCACGGGGTTAAAGGGGAAGATAATTCATCCAACCTTTTATCAAAAGGTAAAACGAGTAGGAATGCATTGAGAACGATAGAGAAATCAATAAAAATTGTCGTCCATATGCTGTATCATTTATCCTCCTGACAGTGTCGAGTGTCCTCTTTAGACAAGTTTCCGGGATTTTTGCTAACGTCAATAGGGAAAAATATCTTCTGCAATATCGATTTTTTTTAATACTCGAGGGAATTTTTAAACAGTTAACAGTTCTGTATCTTATTCTATAATATAAATGGAGGAAATGGACGTGTGTTTAATTCTAAGTTTGATATAATATAGTTAGGGTACATAAAGAATGTATTTCGAGGCCTCTAGCGCTACGTGACTTCTTATTTTTGATAACGAGCAAGATTTAGGCTTTGGTATTCTCATAAACTACATGTGTGACTATGAGTTTAAGGTGTGACCAGAATCTCTCTTATTTTCCCACAAGCTAGGCTTGTATCTGTACTTAAATAATAATTATACAATCCTGAACGCATTCTCTTCATTTTTCTTACATAAAATTTAATCTACGAAGCATCTATTTTTGAATTTTAAAAATTTAATAAAAGTCAAATTGATACTTTGACTGAAACGCTATATGGTTGTTTATTTATAGCGTATTTTTCTAAAATTGCTTTATTGTTCTGGAAAGGAAAACTTTCCGAGTAAAATTTTAAAACTGATATTTAATGCCTTCGTCCTTGAGTTGGAAAAAAAAGGAGAAAATGTCGACGTTTTATTGAAAACTTTCATTCTTCTCTGTTTATCAGTTTTACAAGAATTTTAACCTTCCGTTAGGATTTTTATTACGAGATTTTCGCTTTAGCGTAATTGTTAAAATAGTGGAAACAAAACGAAATTTGTTGCGCCACACCTGTCCTGTGCAGTTTGTGTTCATCCATGCGGCTTTATTTAGTAGAGAAACACCCATTTTTCTACTCGTTTCCCTCGACGATATAATACCGATTCGATGATATCATTGCAGTGTTTACTAATGCGTTCAGGATATCGTTTAGTGAGATGTGACATCGCTCGAATGCGTCTGGTTCACGTCCGTTCGAATTTTTCTACATAATTCAACCCCTATTGGGTCAAATTTCTATAAAACCCGCATATAACGCGAGTAATTTTGTCGTGCTTTCACTCAATTCACTTTTGTTCGCATTCTTCGGCGTGGTTTTCTGCACTAGAATGTGGCTGAATAGTTGTA